ATGAAGAGGAGGAGGCGAGGTAGTGATGTGGGAGCGTGAGGGGATTTGGGGGGAGGGAGATGGTGGAAGTGAGGAGGTGAAGGAAAGGAAGAGGGGGGATGAAGAAGAGGAGTAGGCGAAGGTGAGAGGAGGGAGAAAGGAAGGAAGAAGCGCCAAGGGGGGGGGGAGTGCAGAGGGGAGGTGGGGGCAGTTGGAGAGAGTGGAGAGAGCGCCAGGCGAACCACCAATCCCAGGGCGAGTTGCTAATCCAGTCTTCTCCGGCCGTCCGTCCTACCTCGGCTACGGACCAGCGGCCACGTCCTCGGACAGTTCGCCGTAACTCCACAAATCCACAACCTGGACAAACCCACAACCTGGACAACTCAACAAAGCCATTGCCTGGACAACTCAACAAGCCTACATAGCCTGGACAATTCAACAAATCCACAACCTGGACAAATCCACAACCTGGACAAACCCACAACCTGGACAACTCAACAAAGCCATAGCCTGGACAACTCCACAAATCCACAACCTGGACAAACCCACAACCTGGACAACTCAACAAAGCCATAGCCTAGACAACTCAACAAACCCACATAGCCTGGACAACTCAACAAGCACACAGCCTGGACAACTCAACAAACCCATAGCCTGGACAACTCAACAAACCCATAGCCTGGACAACTCAACAAACACACACAGCCTGGACAACTCAACTAGCCCACAGGCCTGATAATTCAACAACTCCACAAAACCCACAGCCAGGACAACTCAACAATTCAACAAACCCACAGCCTGGACATTACATTTCCCGGCCTGGACACTCGGTTTCTACTGGACAACCAAACCAAGATTTCAAACTTGTAGTTTTTGTTAGAATTTGGAAGTAAATGTATATCATCGGTTATCCAACAAAGACTTGACAGTACAGTTGTAGTTTCAAGTACCGGTATTATACTTTTCAATCACTTACAAAGTTGTAGGTTTTTTTACAATGTCTAGCACGCCGTTCATTTTTTGGACACCCAAATCTAGAAAGCATTGACAGGTTAAACTTAGTAGCATTTTTTTTAGTAGGGCTTCGATCATTAATTGTGGGTCAACCAAACCTTGATTTAATTTAGCTGTTTTGGGTTGTTGTTGTTGGTTTTTTTTTACAATTCTGAAACACTTGGAGCATTAAAATGTTTATCAATATTTTCTTACAGTAAAGAGAAGTACATTCACACAATAACGTTCATTCTGAGGACAGAAAGGTTTAGACAGACAGACATAACAGAAATAAATAAAAAGGGGAACAAACTATGAGTGGCGCCCTCCATCCACCCGCCGTTATAATCTTAAAGTACTACAAACATCTGTCTGATCAAAAGAGAAGTAAAAAAACACTTTAAATGTAACGTAATTCTTGATGTTTTAAAAGAAGTATTTAATTGCCCTCTTCGACAAGATTAAGGTCACGAACGAGGCGAGATCCTTTGACCCTGCATGTCATGGCAAACTTGGGATGTTGTGTTGCAGCATCCCACCAGACAAACGTTTTAGTTAGTGCCGAAGACTAAAGGCATTACTCGGGCGTTCTATATAAAGAAGGAGAGATAAAAGGACGACAGATTTTTTCAAGAGCAAAAAAAGGCAAACCACGCCTGACAAAAAGCAAAACAAAAGAAAAAGCTCCCTACCAAAAAAATACTCCCCCCCCCCCAAAAAAAAAAAAAAAAAAAAAAAACCCCCCCCAAAAAAAAAACCCCCCCCCCCCCCAAAAAAAAAAAAAAAAAAACCAACACAAAACTTCCCCATTCTGGATATCAAATGCATGTCCTCTACCTGCAATAGTAAAGAGCAAAGTAATGAAACATTAGTGCGTGACAGTAGTTTTCCTGCCGGCTTTGGCGGCCACCTGAAGTAGATCGATAATAGTAATCGAGACACCGGTAAAAGTTACATCAAGTATAGGCCCTATTCAGTTATGGGGAAAAGCAAAGATGATAGACAGCCCTGCTGTTGTTGCTGTCATTTCAAAGGCAGGGCACTTACTTCCCTGTCCAGACAGTCAAAAGAGAGGAAAGCATATTCCAGTAAAGACGAACCATAACCCTTGAAACTGCAACGGTTATAATCTTCAACTTTTGATAAACAGACAATTTTAAATTCTATGACTTACTGTACCCATCCGACGTCGTGTCTTTGGGAAAAGCACTTTATACGAATTTTCCACAGTGCTCGATCTTTTCCAAGATGGACGTTAAACTCGGAGGTCTCACGTCTTAAATAACAACATGGTGTTGATAGGGGCGTTAAACCTAAACCATTTCACCATTTCACTATACCCATAGCGGCCAACTCGGCTAAAAAATTCTACTTGTATTGGTCTCCAAATGGAAGTCTGGTCTACATTGGGTCACATGCACATATATAAAAAGTACAACTATACAACGCATTACCCTGTATCACACCGGTACTACATTGGTCATTTGTTATTGTATAGGAGTAACGCCCCTGTCAACATTATCAGGTTATTTAAGAGGCGAGACATCCGAAAGTTACGTTCATCTCCGATAGGACGCAGCCAAATGGACGGAGAGCCTTAAAAACTCAACGAAAAAGCCCAGGTTCTGAACGCTCCGTTGGTAATTCAAACAATGGTCATCTACTCTGAAGTTCAGCATGATACCAATGGAGCTAAGCATATCTGTCATTGTTGATCGCCACGGAGAAGATCATAGGTTTGTTTTGTTTGTTTGTTTGTTTTAAATGAGTTTTGCTTCGTTTTCGGGGGCGTTTTGTTTTGGGGGTTTTCAGTTAGTTATCCGGTTTTGCTCAAGGACACACTCGACTCCAATGACCACCCACCTATCTAAAACAACCATTGAAAAAATACCTACATGCCATAAATAAGCTTGACAGTGCTGTGAGCCCGAGCCAACTAACAACTTAGCTACAGATATTGTGCTTTTTTTAAAGAGCACATTGACGCGATAAACGGTTCCCTTGGAAAGTCGGGGGTGGGC